TGTAATTTGTAAGAAGAATCTATCAATATAATTCTCATTTCTTGGTAGGTTATCTGTCTCCTAGCCTGTATTTAGATGTTTCTTTTGTCTTTGAAAGTCCACAGTTTCACTAAGATGTATTTAGGTATAGACTTCTGAGTAAAGGAATTATATCATCAATCAGTTCTGCAAAATTCTCAGCCAGTGTCTTCCTGAATGTCTGAAATTTTTTTTTACTCTCAATATCTCTTTGTGTACTTCTAAGATGTGAATTAGATCCATGCCTCACCTTTTCACTTATTTTCATGTCTCTTAAACTCTCATGGGTCCCACTGCTTTGTCTCCATGGATATACTCTCATTTCTTTGGTTCTGTATTTCCTGGTGTTAATTCGTTCTTCAGCTTTTTCTAATATTGTATTAAATACATTAATCTGTTTCTACTTAAAAGTTCTAGAAATTCTATTTGTTTTTTATCCAAATCTTTGTTTAATTTTAATAGTATACTGTTCCTTTATTATGTCTGCAAGTCCATTTTTTTTTGTAATTTAAGCATATACAACTATATAGTGTATGTTCATTTGAAAACTACAGCATACACAGTCTCTGAGAATCTGATTATAAAATTTGTTGTTTTGCTAGCTCTGCTCCTGGTGGTTTATTTTCTCATGTGATCAGTGAATTTTTGATAGTTAGCTCATGATTCTTGAAAGTTTATTTTTGGAAAGCTTTTGATGTCTTATCTCTTTACAGATGGTTTAAATTTGCTTCTGCCTGGTGATCTTTTCACCCTTGGACTGCTTTACATGAAATTAAACTAAAATTTCATTTTACTTTACTTTTCCCATACAAGTATTATGAATTTAGGCCCTAAACTCAAATAAGATTTTCCTCCTCTTCCATCTCCCCCTCCCATCTCCATTTCTCCCTCCCTCCATCAGTCCTGTCTTCCTCCTTCCCTTCCTCTGTCTCCCTGTCTCCCTCTCTTTTTCTTTTCTCCCTCCCCTGATTTCTTTTCTTCTCCACTCGTGTGTTAAGGCTGATGCAACATATTCCTCTGCAAGGTACTGTTTTCCTTGTGACATGACAGGGACTTTCAGGGTAGCAGCGTTTTTCTAAAGTGTTTCTCATCTAGTCTTTCACCTAAACACTCTGCCTACCAGGTTTTTTCCTCTGTTGTTCATCCCTGAGACTTATTATTACGCAAGCTGAGTGCCCAAGGATGCACAGATTAAACACTGCCATCGTGCGTGTTGGTCTTTGGATTCATGCTTTGTTGTCATTTCTGGACTTGAAGGAATTATCCAGCTCAGCCACATATTTACTAGAAATTTCTTTTTAATTATTCTTCCTAGCAGTTTTAGGAATGCTACAATTGGGAAAAAATTCTATGAGCATCCAGCCCTGTACCAATAAACTAAAATTTCATTTTATTTTACTTCTGTGCTTTGAAGATGCTAAGTGTGTGTTGCAGAAACACGTCATGAACATTTACATCTGTAATTTAGGAACTGTCCACTGGAGGGGGACAAGAACCAAGGGCATCTGCCAATGGAATCATTAAAATACCTGCGTTTGGGTGACAGTTTAACACTTGAGCTACAGGCTCAGTGCAAGCTAAAGACAGGCATCCGTTTTCCAACTCTGAATTTGTTGTTTTTCTTTTTGGGAAAAATTTCTTCACTGTAGTGTGAAGTGAGGTAATTTTGGGTTTTGTAATATCCTCAAGTGGATGTGACTGAGCCTTTTGAAGACCGTTTCTAGGAATTTGTATTATGTCCTGTTCTCTCTGATTTTCTTCCAGGAAAATTAGGATCACATACAGTCATACTGAAATGCAATTATTGAGGGCAGCCAGTAACATTACTATTTGGCAGTTTGAGCTGTAATAGGCAGCCAGATTTTACTTGTCCTTGTGCTGGTTACTTTGTTACAGGGAAGTTTGTAGCAGTTAAGCCAAAGGTGAAGACCGGTAACTTTCCCCATCCATGTCTGAGCTGTATCCAGGCATCATGTGAAAGCTACTGGAGCACTCGGACATGCTTGAGATCATTTAGAAGAATGAAAGGAGACTGCGGCCTTAGAAGTAAAGAGTAGGGATTGTGTCTCCTTCTCGGAAGGCTTGGAGATACTCCTCAAGGAATTTGGCATAACCCCTGGCTGGAAGAAGTAGCACCTGTGTGCACTGTGTGTTTCCTTTTTTAGGACATGAGCGAAACAAGTAATGAAGAACTGGTTTGAATTAGAATCCTGGACACTGCTTCTGCGAAGCCAGCAACCTCCTTGCCGGGCCTGGGGAAACCCATGGGAAGGTGGACCACAGAGGCAGGGTGTTTTCTTCATGCTTTTTCTCAAGCTATACGGACAGGGGATTAAAACTAATCAAAGGAAAATGTTTTGAAGCAAACTGCTGCATAATTAATCCCGCTAGCTTCTAAGGGTCCTTTGTAAAGAAAGCTATTGCTGATCAAAGGAATTGTTAATAGATCTCCAAAGCTTTTTGGAAGCTTCCTGCTTGCTAAGTTCTTTCAACAGACCTCTTTGAATAAGGCTGTGAAAATGCCCCTTAACATTCAAGGGATGGGAAGTAATCCGGACTTTGAGTGTATAGCGCTGAGCCTTAGTTTCCATATCTCTTTAGTGTAATGGGGTGTGTGTGTGTGTGTGTGTGCCAGAGGGGAGGCGGCTGGAGGAAATGACCTACTTATCAACCTCTAAGGATTCATCTGAGTTCAAATTCAGCAGGTCCAGGAAGCCTGAAATTCTGCTGTTGGTCTGGAATAGTGAGACTGTGCTATGTCACTGACACTTAGGACCCCATGGTGCCTTTCTTAATAACAACCATGCTTCAAAGCGATGATTCCTAGGTATAGCTCTTCACATTATAAAGTCCTACGGAGACCATCTTTGGAGAGATGAAATCCCCGGGGCAAATGGAAACCTTAACTGCTAAAGATCTGGGTGAGCGACAGCATTGGCAGAGCTGAGCCGGGAGGAGGAAGTGGCGGGCGCATAATTTTGAGAGGCAGCAGGTGCAATTTGCTGCCCTGTTGCACACACGGTGCGAGAGGAAGCGGGAGTGGGGGGCTGACAGCAAGGACTTTGGACCGTCAGCTGGCTGCATGGAGTTCCTGTGTACTGAGCAGAGACAGTGTGAGAAGAGCTAATTTGAGTAGGTGGGTACTGAGAGGACTGAGCGTTAAATTTGGGCGTGTTCACTCTTGGGGGCCTGTTCTGCATTCATGTCTAGGAGGCACTAAGCATCTGGAGGAAGTCAAGGATCCTAATACTCGCGGTGAAGTTTGGAAGTCCCCACGTATGGATTGTGTCCACGTTCATGATCTCATTTATGATCCCAGCAGCTGTGTGATTAGGTGTTATTATCATCTCCACTTCAGAGCTGAGGTGATAGAGGTGGGGAGAGGCTAAGTCACTTCTGCAAAGCCATGCCATCATTCAGCGGAGTCAGGCAGTCTGCTTCCAGGTCACAGATGGGCCAAGGACCAAACGTCTGCATTGCAGTTGGTGGTGAGGAGGCCGTGCGTGATGCTGGTGAGCAGAGTGTTAGGGGAAGGCTGGAAGCAGAAGTCAGGCTCCGGGCGGAGCAGCTGACCCGACTTGAAGTTTTAACATGCAAATCTAGTTTATCTTTATAAATACAGTCTTTGTCAGCGTAGCTCCTCAGGTGTGAAGAGCTCAGGTTGCTGGCCAAATTCAGCTGCCAGAACTGCAATACCAGACGGACATGGGCCCCGGGCAGCCCTGCTATGGTGCTGCCCGCTGTGAGGCTCCCCTGGCAGCCAACACCTTCTAATTTATCTTTCTAATGGCACTGCTAAGTGCTCAACAAATGTTTGCATTGATCTAAAAGTACAGTTTCCCCCATGTGATGCCAAAGAATGCTTCCCCTGGAGCAGTGAGCTTTAGCAGATGTGTGTGGGCTTGGCCAGGGGGCCTGTGGTGAACCCTGATGCTTATTTAAGAAGGAGGGACATGGAGCAGCCAAGCACATGGGTCTTGTGGGAAACATACAGGCACAGTCCTAACTATAGTGAATTCCCAGAGCGCCCTAAGTAGGAGCCATACCTCGTTCAAAGACAGCTGCTGACAGAGCAGCTACATGGCATGGAACACATAGCTTCTGCTTCTGGGCTAGAAGGGCACGGGTGACCAGTCGGGTGGCATTCTGTCCCAGGCAGCACATCTCCATGCTTGGCACGCAGGCACGGGAGCCCGCGGGGTAACTTCCGCTGTGAGTGCTCTTAGCCCAGCGTGACAGTGCAGGTCAGGACCTACAGCCTTGCCAGACTGGGAGTAACCTGAGCTCAATTTTGTGGCTGAGGTACTTTTCCCGGTGACAGTAAATGCGTCATAGATATTTTCTGATAAATGGGTGAAGGTTAAGTAGTTGTTGATGTCAAAAAGGCTCATCAAGAAGGTATCCACAAGCGTCTGGCTTTGTGTTTTTAAGCTCTGCTTTAAGAGATGGTTCTTAATTGTTAGCAAGCAATAGTAGAGGGTTAGCATTTAATAAATCTTTTTAGAAATGGTTGCAACAGAGCCTTCATGTATCAAGAGATTAAATACTACTTTTAAGAATGTCTGGCTGCATGGTATACGTGGGCTTTTGAGAGGCGTGGATGTCTCTGCTGGGGAGGAAGACGAGGGGGAGGCCCATGCCCCTCCAGCTGCTTTGAGCTGCCTTCAGTTTAGCATGAAGTCGTTCCTCCTGGCCTGGTTTGCTCATCTAATCTGCACCAGTGGAGGACACAATGACTCCTGAACCCAACACAGCCAAGTCCACAGGCGTGAGAATTCAGGAGGCAGAGCTCCCGAAAACGCGAGAGTCGGCTCACTGAAGTGAGCGGAAACCATGCCCAGTTTCCCTGCAGAACGCTGCACACCTGTGCAGGTGGAATCCCAGAGCTGGCAGGGAGAGAGGGGGGCCTGCAAGGCCGCCTCACCTGCCTGCCGACCCTGACTCAGGAGACTCACGCATGTGCCGGGCGGCGCCTCACTCACCACTGTTGCTGCGTCTCCGCAGGTCGTACCCGCTTCCTGGCCCGTCAGTCTCCTCAGGAACCTCCACCAGGTCGGAAGTCTTGAAGGAAAGGGGGACAGCAGGCAATGAGCAGTGTTGCATCAGCGAGTCAGCCGAGTCCTGATTCTGATGTTGGGAGAAGACCTCGCTCCTAAGAGCCCAGTCGCTATGGTTTTGTTTAGCCAATGTCCTCGAGGCTGTGTGTTCCCTCGGGGGCACTGCACCTCCCCAGGTGTGGGTGGCAGGCTCAGGCTTGGCTGTGCAGGTGCGCAGTGAGCACTGAGTGAGCCCCTAGATGGCCAGGCCACAGCTGAGCCTCTTCCCAGGAAAGCAGAAATCCTTTCCCTATCTTTGTACTTCAAATGTTTGATAACACTACAGGGAAATTTAAAATATTAATTAGAGAGAACAAGACACACTACTGTGTGATTTGGGTTTAAGTTAAAAGTTATCTCCAGTACTGCAAAAAAATCAGTCAATTTCTTTGTAACACATTATGCTGTTTTAAATAAGTCATCTCATTCTGCTTCTTAGATTACAGAAATAACGATTAGAATAACAACAGCCATGATAACAGCAATAATAATGGTTTCTGATTATTTACCTTGTGCTGGGTTTCATCTCATCGATTACTCACAATAATCTCATGATAGACCCATTTTTCAGGCAAGAATCTAAAGCCCTGAGAGAGAATGAGTGGCTCTAGTTGAGGCCCCACAGCAGCTATGAAGGGGTGTGCACCCCAGACACTGTCCGCAGAGCTTGTGCCTTTGTGCAGCGCGTGCCAGAGCAGCTTCCCGGGCTGGTGAGAGCCCTCACGGCCACCGCGTCAGCAGCACAGACTTGGTCCTGGGAGGAGCATCTGCACCACAGGAATTGGCAAGTGCCACAACTCAGGTTTCTGCTCCAAGCTGGTGGTTGAACTCGTGTCAGCACACGGCTGACCACCTCTTTCCAAGCCATGTGCCCTGGCTTCTGTCAGCCTGGCTCCGCTCTCTTCAGCAAAGGAACAAGGGGGCTTTTGAGGAGAGTCACATTTTAAGAAACAATTTATATCTGATGATCCGAGAGGAACACAACCTCCCCACCCCTCCCCGCCACCCCACTCTCTAGGCAGCTACAGAGGGGGTTTTGTTGTAATTCAGTTTTCTTACTTATAATTCATTCTTACTTGTATGGCCATTCTTACTTGCATACTTGCATGGCAGATCAGAAAGCAGAGCAAGATAAATTCGCAGGGTCTCTGAGTCACTCACACCCTGCTCCTTGGAAGCTCAAGATTTCTGCATTGGAGTTGCTTGGCGGAAAGTTTCATTTATGTCCATGTCATCGTATGAAATGGAAGGTTTCTCGTCAGCTAGCCAGCTAACTCAAAACGATGTTTTTGAATTTGGTTTCTGTTAGCTGTCCTAGAGCCATCAAGCCTTTTATATTCTAGAACGTTTGAAGGCATATTAAAGAGAACATAATGATTTGGAAACAGCCAGGCAGCGACTTCCTGACCATGTCAAACAAATGCCTCTCTAGTCCCAGAAGAAAATAAACCTGTGGAACAAAGCTTCCCTCTGTGGGAATGAGTTAGCTTTAGGACATAATGCTACCAGTAGAACAGCCGAACTTCATTATCACCTAACCCTGAAGGAAGGAAGCAAAATCATTTTAAAGGACCCATCACTTATTTCTGTTTTCTTCCACTGGGGCAAGTAGGACTTCAGGAAAAGAGCAAAGCGACAGATATTTAAGTGCAATTTGATTTGTCTTTGTCTCCCTGCAGCTCTCAGAACAATGCCCTCGCAGAGCAAACTCCAACAAATATTTGCTGATAGAACCAGGCAGCTATAACTGGACACTGATGAATGGACTCATTGACAGTCAGAAATTAGGCGTTTTGCCCCAAAAGCTGGCATATAGGTTCCAGATGTTGCTATGGTGGTTTTGAGACGAAAGCAAACTGAATATCCTTTGTTGTCCCTCTGATGGTCTTGCTGCATCTTAGCATCAGCCAAAAATGTGGAGGGTGAAATGGCATCGCTTACTCGGCCAGTGTTTCTGAGGACTTCCCTTTGTCATGAGCTAAGCCAAGCTCAGAAGCACAGGAGCAGCCACCTGCTGCGAATGTGGATAGACCAAGGCCATCGTGAGGGAGAATCTGCTCTGCTTTGCCCTCCGTGGGCTGGCTTTCCATCTGCCCTTCCACCAGTGTCAGCCGTAGACAAGACACTAGATAATGCTTGGCTGGAGTGCAGTGAGGCTGAGTTTCTTCCCACCAGAGATGGGAGACAATGCAGGCCTGTTCAGAATGCAGGTCAGAGTGGACACAGGTCCACGCTCTGGCCAGTTCTGTCTGTGCTTTTCTCTTGATGGCTGGGCGGTAGCTACAGAAGGTCTTGATTTGTAAGGGTTGCAGGCCGGGAGGCAGCTCTCGGCTTTGGGGAGGCAGCTCTGGCAGGAATGGTTCTTTTCATACCCACCCCAGGGGGAGATGCAGTGTGCTTTACGGGATTAGGGAGACAAGGCGGTTAGCATCCTTTAATCCCTGCCCGAGACTTCAGACCCCACATCCGGCTGCTGTAAATGTGTGACTCAGAAGCTGTTCTCCGGAGCAGGAGGAAGAGCAAGTGTGAGCGTGCAAGGGGGAAGCAGAAGGAGGAAGCCAGGGGCCGGTGGCTTTGGAAGCAGGTGTTACACTTTTAATTTAACTCCATCATTCTCAGGTTGTAATGTGCATCAAAATGACCTGGAGGCTTTGTTAATACAGGGATTATTTGGCTCCCTGTATAAGATTCTCTGATTCTGTTGGTCTGAGAGGGAAACCCAAATTTGCATGTCTAACAAGTTCCCGGATAATGCTGGTACTGCTGGCCCTGAGGCCACACACTGAGAACCACAGGTTTAAATTCCTGCAGCTGGAGGTCTTTCTTGGGTGTTTACAAGTTTGGCTGAGAAGGGTTTTGATTAATTGATTGATATTAGTGAATATTTCCTGAGGATCTATAGTGGGCCAGCACTGAATGTTAACAGCAGCTCTGAAGTCAGGGGGTATTGGAGTCCCTGGAGGCGGGCAAGGCTCACGGAGGCCCGGGCTAGATGAAGTAGGGCAGAACCTGGGCCTTGGGAATGCTGCATCGTTCTCCAGTGGGTTCTGAAGCCCCCTCCACCCCCCACCCCTCGAAGTTTGAGAATCACTGGGATAAGGGAATGGAAATAAAGCGATGCAAACAGGCCTTTCATTTAAGCAGCTTAATCTAGTTGAGGAGGGGGTTGGAGAAGGGAGACGGTGAAAATTATTAGGCAATCTCTAGATCCCGGGGAAGCAAGCTGGTTGCTGTAGGAGACCAGGGGAGAGGCTCTCACCCAGCCAGGCAGCTCAGGGAGGTGTTGTCTGCAGGGAGGTAGACACAGAGTGTGGGCCCTCAGCCAGAGCATGGCTTTCCAGACAAGGGCAAGTTGTGCCGGGAGCAGAGGGCATGAGAAATGGAGTACTGGATGCCCGTGAGTCCTTGCTAATTCCTCCTCCTTCAAGCATTTCTGGAGTGCTCCGAATGTGCCAGGCAGCTTGTCTGGCTGCGAGGTAATGAGATGAATTATGAATGGGCTCTGAGGCATAGTCACTCAGTACCTGGCATGGTTTTGAAATCCATGCATAGGTTTTTTTTTCTTAATATGCATTTTCCATGAAGCCTTTGAAGACATGCATAGATTTCAAAAATTTTTTGTACCAAAATAAATTTATGTTTTAATTCTACTTTCCTCAAACTTTTGGAAGTTTTTTATATATTTGAATACAAAATGAATCCTATCCATATGCACTTTGTATATTTTTATCGCATTTAGCATCATTTCTATCCTTTGAGTAAATGAATTAAAATTATCATTATCATCTGGACTGCCAAATGATAATGTTCGCTTCTCTGGAAATCATCAGGATTCGGGTATCTTAAAATGTGATAAATCATACCCTCATTGCTCTGAGCCAAACTTTCCATTCTTACTATGAAATCTTTCACCACTCATATAGCATAGTTATTACACGCTAACGCATATATGTTATGTCCTTAATAAAATAGAATAAGGCGTATAAAAGTGTATTTTAAAAAAAAAAATGTTAAGCAGTGCTGTCATCTTCCATCTTTTACTGTACTGGTGTGTTCTTCAGAAATAAGTGAATTCTAAGCTATGTCTTCTGCTTTTATGTCCTACACAGTGCTAGTGAGCTGTGGGCTGCTCATTCGTGCTTGAAGAGAAGCAGAAAGAACTAATTAACATGAATTTTATGTACATCAAGGAAAAAGTAAAAACTATTTTCAATTAGAAATCAATGGAAGGGTTGGGCATTGAAGTGTAGCCGGTTAAGCTGCTGCCTGCATCACCTGCATCTCATTTGGTCACCAGTTTAAGTTCTGGCTGCTTCACTTCCAGTCCAACTCCCTGTTAATGCACCTGGGAAAGCAATGAAAAATGGCCCAAGTCCTTTGGCTCCCGGACTCATGTGGGAAACTGGATGAAGCTCCTGACTCCTGGCTTCAGCTTCAGCCTAGCCTGGCCCTGCCATTGTGGCCACTCAGGGAGTGAACCAGTGGATGGAAGATATTTCTCTCTCTCTCTCTCTCTCTCTCTCTCTCTCTCTCTCTCTCTCTCCCCCTCTCCCTCTCCCTCTCTCCCTCTCTGCCTCTCTCCCTCTCTCCCTCTCTCCCTCTCTCCCTCTACCTCCCTCCCTCCCTCCCTCTTACTCTGCCTTTCAAATAAGTAAATAAATCTTTAAAAAAGAAATCAATGGAGTATAAGAAGAGCAGGACATTTGGTGAGTTTCAAGACATTTTCTAGGATCACCATGTGGCATCAGTCAGAGCCCATAAGAACCTTACCTACTTTCTTACCTACAATCTGAGGTTATCTTGTGGATTGACCAATGAGGAAGCTGCCTCAGCTCAACCCCTGAGAACCCAGGTTTCTGCCCCATCATTCTTCCCCTAATCTACGGTCATTGATGCTGAGAGGGCTACGTGGGCCAGACCATTTGCAGGCTCATCTGTCATGCCCAGAAGTCTCTAGTCCCAGGAGCTGTGACAGTGGAATAGGGAAGTCAGTGCAGGCTAGCCCAAGTGGCCATGTGGACTGGAAGGTCCTTGCCTCTTGCAGGAGGGATAGTGGCTTTTAGCATGGGCTACGGAGTTGCCCAGTGTCTTGGGACATTTATAGGAATTCTGGTTGGGTTGATAATAACAGAGATGCAGTGAATAGCCAGTTCAGATCGGATAGAATGCAGGAGAGGTAACTGGGGAGAGGAGTGTCCTATGGAGAGAGACTGCATGGAGTCAGAGGCCAAGCGTCTCTAGGGAGGCGGTTGTCTGTGTGAAAACAGGAGATGCATCTGAGAAGATGCAAGAAATCTCGCCATCCTTTTCTGGGTGTAGCTGCAAGGAGAACTGGGCACAGCCAGGCTTCCCCCGCTTCTGTCCATCGTGTGAGTCAAACGTGTTTCCTCGTGTTGACTGATATGGTATCTAACATTGGTGGGAGGGTGGAGGGCGGGAGATCCAGGGGAGGAATCCAGGAGCCTGAGGCTAAGACATGGTCTTCCATTAGGAAAGAACAATGACCTCTGGGTGCCAGCAACAGAAAGTTAACCCTTCGTGTCCCGGAGCATGGTGCCCTTCCTTTGGGAGGCCTCCTGGCTCCCAAGAGACCAACCCTCATGAGGCGTCTGGGTGGAACCCCTCCCACTACAGTGTCTGCGGCCAGCCCTGCCAGAGACCAGGGGAAGAGGACAATTACAGAGGTTCTGCGGGGTGAGTCCGAGCCACTGCCAGAGCTGCCCTTCTTCATCCTCTGGGCCAGGGAGGTGCCGAAGCGCAGGGTCTCGTAGACAGGGTCCACCTTGTTGCCACAGGCTGCAACAGAAGAGAAAGCTCATCTGAGAAAGCTCCGCCGAGGGAAGTCAGCCGACCCCTGCCGCATCTCCGGGGTGGGCGGGGCCTGTCCTGCGCGGCAGCCAGAGCTCTTGGGGAGGTGGCTTTTCTGCAGCCAGGTTTTCTCACAGATTTGCTCCTCAGCCCAACACGCCAGGTCCCTGCACTGCACCCAGCACTGCCAGTGAGGACTCTGCTTCTAGCCCTTCCTACTCGGTTGCTTTTCCTCTTTCCTTACCCACCCCCAGAACTCCAGTTTCTGCCCACAGTCCAGTTTTATTTCCCCTAGTGGGAGCTCTGCTCATCGTGACACAGAAGCCAAGACAGTTTGTAATAGGAGGCAAAGTGGTTTTTCTGAAAGCATTTGACATTGCCAGGCCTCATGAATTTCTAATTAAAAAATTTCTAGTTTATAAATTTCTGGTTTATAACTTGTCCCCCTAAAAAGGCAGAAATAGATGTAAAGATCTGCAGAGAGGGAAAAAATTAGCAGAAGTAGACTGAAGGATATTATTAAAGAAGAAATCCAAGCCAGGCATATCTATAAATACAGGCATTTTTGGCCCTCATTAAATAATAACTGATATTCACTGAGTTCCTTCTAAGTCTATAATCTATGCATATTTTTATGACGATGATGAAAGCCCATAATTGCTGTTCTCATTTGAAAGGATCTGACAGGCGAAATGACTTGTTCAAAGATGCCCTGTTGGTCAGAGGGGAGGCTGGGCCTCGCCCCAGGGCTGCAACTGGCTGGACTGCATGTTCTCTGTACACCACCATACTGCTGATGGCTGGGAGAGCAGGGCAGCAGCCGTGGGGACTTGGGCTTTTTATCAGCTTCATCAAGGAGAAGATAATTCCTGGAGAATTGGGTCTACTGTATGTTTTTCTTTTTTCCAACAAAACAATCACACCTCAAAACAGCCCTGGGAGGACAGCAACCGTTGATGTTGACTTGGCTGCCCTAAATCTGTTGGCCATAGATGTCTCAACTCACCAATGGGCATAACTTCTTTAATGCATCCAAACTGTTCATGGATGAGCAATGGGGAACTGTAGTAACGCCGAAATCCCTTTGGCTAGAGAGAATGAGAAAGGAAGGGCTTAATGTCAGCAAAGAGATAGAGAAAAACCACACACACACACACCAAAACAAAAAAAACAAAAAAACCAAAAAAACAAAAAAACCCTGAAACTAAAACAAACTAAGCTGTAGGCATTGTGGTGCAGCAACTTGGGATGCCCACACTGCATATCCCAGTGAGCCCCACCTCTGCTTCTGATCCCACTTCCTGCTAAAGCCCACCCTGGGAGGCAGCAGATGAGGATCCAAGTGCTTGGGTCCCTGCCACCCATCTGGGTGACCTGGAAGAAGTTCCTGGCTTTGATCTGGCCCATCCCTGGCTGTTGTGGGTACTTGGAGAACGAACCAGAGGATGGACTTCCTCTCTCTCTCTCTCTTTCCCTTCCTCCCTTCATCTCCACCTTTCAAGTAAAAATAAATAAACCTAACAAAATAGGACCCAGTGATCTCTCTTGGGGCAGCTCCCTGTCTCCCTTTAAGGTGCTGACATAGCCTATTAATTCTACCATCTATCCCCAGCAAGGGGGTTGGGAGACGGAAGTATAGTTGACAATAAGCAAGTTAATGATTCCTCCAGGAACCAAGCCCCTGCACCGGCCCTCCCTAGCCTCTTCTCCTGTAGGGCACTGCAGCCTGCGTTGTGTGCAGGATCCTCACTGTGTCCCAGGATGAAAATGAACGGCTATGCATTGTTGCACCACAGCTCCTTCCTGTGGCTTGTCAGAGCCATAAAAGGCCCAGGCGTGGGAAAATGGGCCTCAGAGGTAGGCCTGCAGGTCCTTGTATATCTCAACAGCATCATCCAGAATGATTTGCTTTGAGTTCTGGATTCTGTTCTCTGTTTTTCTGATCTCTCATGCATGGTCTTTGCATGGTTGTGGGATTTTTCCTCTAGTGAAAGGGAGTAGTCAGGGGTTGGGAGACGAGGACACTGCACATCAGAGTAAGTAGAGGGATTTTTCTAAGATCCAGGGCTTACTGCACCCACCACTGGAAGGGAACTTAATGGCCCAGTTCCTCCTAGCATTCCAGAGTCCTCTTCAGTGTTCCTGGAAACTGGTGTCCTCGTGTTTGATGGGAGCGGGGCAGAATCACTCATTATCCTGCTAACTCACTCCAGGGGCTGGTATTTGGCGATGTTACCCAGGATTGTTGATAGTTGGTATCCACTAACTCTAGGTCTTTTCCCTGGAGCCACAAAGGACAACAGAATTCCTGTTCTAAGGTCTTAGATTTTTAGACAGTTGTTATATCCAGGTAAGCACTCTTGTGCATAGACATTCTTGATCCTTTTTATAATTTTTTGGCATTCTTAGTTTCAGATACCCTCAACTGTCATACCAGGATGGAAGCCCATACACCTGCAATGGCATGATCAGCTCTCAATGGCCAGGATGGTCCAGTCTCCCTTGGTTTCGTCAACATGATTCTGTTAAAGTGGAGTAGATTTTTTACTGATTTTTTTGGGGAGATTTGCTCTAATTCCCTCCTGACTCCCTCTGAGCTGAGAGCCAATGAAGGATCAGGGTGATCTGCCATGCTGGTGTGCCTGGGACTGAGGGGTTTCCTGGGATGCATGACTTTCTTTCAAAACCAGAACAGTCCCAGGATGTGGGACTTTGAATGCCAAAACTGAGAATCCCCACCTGGGAGAAGTGGATCACTCTATGAAGGCCTTGAATCCTTTTCCATGTGGGACATTTGTCTGTTAGCTTGACAGATCTCCCCTGTTCATTATGCTAATCAGGAAGCCAAGTTAGGGTGGCATTTGGCCAGTGATTAAGATTCCTCTTGGGATACCTGCATCTTATATAGCAGTGCCTGGATTTGGGTCCTTACTTCACTTGCTGTTTGAGCCTCCTGCTAATGCACACCCTGGACGGCAGAAGGTGGTGATTCTAGTACTTGAGTCTCTGCTGCCCATGTGGGAGACTCAGGTTGAATTGTTAGCTCTTGACTGCAGTCTGGCCCAGTATGGCTGTTGTGGGCATTTGGGGGAGTGAACCGGCTGTTGAAGATTTCTCTCTGGCTTTTGAATAAATAAAACAAATAAAAGCCAGTTGAAAGGCTGTGGATTCTGGGGTTCCTCCCCCCGGGGTTCAGGGCGGGAGTGAGCTCACTGGGAGAGGCAGTGCCTGGGCAGTGGGTCCGGGGCCCTCTCCTTACCAGCTTGCCCATGCACCGCTGGGGTGTGAGGCCGTCAGTGCACCTGTGGTGGATGCTCATCTTACAGGCCTTGCAGCGCAGTCCATGCTTAGCATTGGTTCCTGTTGGGCACACGGTTCACTTGGGTTAGGACACACACCGCCTTTCCTGGTGACTAGTCCGAAATCTCCGAAAAAGAGTTCTCCTCTGACAGTTGCATGAGGCTTTCAAAATGAACAAAGTATTGTGCTAGATTCCTTTTCCTTCTCCCATGTTTCCTATCTGAGATTTCAGCTCCAGTTTCTCCCCACTTCTTTCCTATTAACTACTCCAGAAATTGTCAGTCTCTGCTGCTTATTCTCTCAAGTCAAGTTGGCACCTTCCACTTTCTTTATTCTTCATATGGGTCACCCATTGTAGCTTTTCTGCATCTTTACTGGGTAATGCAAATCCTAACAGTTCACCCATCTTCCTATCACAGGGTCTGAGCTTGGACAAACTCTCAGGACAATGACTGATGAAAGAGCAGCGCCTAAAGCAGGGTTTAAGTTACAGTGGGGGCCGGCGCCGCGGCTCGCTAGGCTAATCCTCCGTCTCGGGTGCCGGCACACCAGGTTCTGGTCCCAGCTGGGGCGCCAGATTCTGTCGCGGTTGCCCCTCTTCCAGGCCAGCTCTCTGCTGTGGCCAGGGAGTGCAGTGGAGGATGGCCCAAGTGCTTGGGCCCTGCACCCCATGGGAGACCAGGAGAAGCACCTGGCTCCTGCCATCGGATCAGCGTGGTGTGCCTGCCGCAGTGCGCTGGCCGCGGCGGCCATTGGAGGGTGAACCAACGGCAAAGGAAGTCCTTTCTCTCTGTCTCTCTCTCTCTCTCACTGTCCACTCTGCCTGTCAAAAAAAAAAAAAAGTTACAGTGGGGCTGAGAAAGTCTTCTACAGTAGAGGAGAGGGGACTCAGATACAAGTCCCTGCCCAGAGAAAAGGGCAAAGGAGGTGGGTGGCAGTGAAATCACTGCTGTGGGCGGGGTGGGTCACTTAGCTTCGTGGGATGGGGTACCATCCCGGGTGAGAAGGAGGCAAAGGAATTGAGGCATGGCAGAGCCGTCCTGGCTGTTGGATTCTGCACCGCATCCTAAAGGACAGGAGCTCCAAGGGTGGGGCACTGGGAAGACAGAGACGTGGATTTGGGAGCTGTAGGAAGAGAGCAGCGGTGTCAGGCTGAAGGTGGCTGGAGGGGGAGTTAGGAGAGGATGTCCCAACGCGATGTTTCTATCTCCATGTAGTCTAGGACAAGAGTATGTAGGACAAGAGGTGCCACCTGCTCTGCCAGATGAAAGTGAGGCAACAGCCCGCCATGTAGATGTCAAGAGGAGGTGTCAAGCTGCATTTCACCCTTCTCAGGTGACCAGCACACCTCCAGTGTATTAGAAAGAAAGAGGAGATGTTGAGACAGGGTTTCTTTGTAGAGTTGTTGAGGTGCCATTAATCTCATCCAGACTCTTCTACCCTGGCGAGAAGGTTGAGGGCATTTTGTTGATTCCTCAGTCCTACAGAGAGGATCTTCAAGGAAATGATTTTAAAAGCTTGGCCTGTGCTCCCTGGACTCTAGAGAATGCGTAGCTTGGGCGTGGGAAACCATATACGTGTGACACATGGGTGAACTGCATCTTGTCAGCTTACTGAGGAGCTGTGGGTAGGTGGGCAAGGCCTGCGATCAGAAAGCTTATCAGGATAGTGAAGTGTGTGTAGAGAGCTCGTGATTCCCATGGACCAGATACGGGCTGTGTAGAAAGCTGCCGAAGAAGCTCACCTGGAGGGGCAATGGTTCCCCAGCAAAACAGGTCTCTTTAGAGTGGAGAAATAAGAATTAATGTGTTCACAGAGGGTGAGACGTGGTCATGGGTACTCATAGCTGAATGCAGATGTGAGGACCTCAGGGTGATGTGCAAAATCCACCCTCATCGCCGCTGACGCCTCCCCTTCCAGTGCCCTCATCTCGTCCTGGTGGCTGTCCTCCAAGCCAACATGTAGGTAGTGGCTGGAGTAATCTTTTGAAAATGCAATTGAATCACCTCCCTTCTTGGTTAAACGTCTTCTGTCAGATTCTTCCTGCTTTTTGTAGAGCTGTACAGAATGTTCACCCTGGGGTGAGCTGTGTGACTTGATGGGAGCCTGCCTTTAACTTCATCTTCCGTCACCCTCCATTGTTCATTATACTTTAGTTGTATGCCCTCCTTTTAGTTCATGAATGAAAGGGTCCTTTAATTCCTCAGGGTCTTTGCACATTTTTCTTTATATGCCTGACACTGACTTTTCCGTAAATCCCTCTTCACGTGGCTAGTGACCCATTTGGATAGCTTGTCATTTCTTCAATGACACTTTCATGAAAACATTTCACCTCACCTGTCTGAATTGTCATTTTCCTTTATTCTTTCACGCAGCAGTCTCTGGCTATCTTTCATGACATTTATCATAATTATTATTTATTTGAGTGTTTGTTTTTGCCTTCCTTTCCCTCTGGATTGTGAACTGAATGAGGCTAAGAACTACATCTGTTCATTGCTACTTTATACCCATTTCTGAGCATCATGCCCCATACATCTATGTTAAATAAATTAATAAAGAAATTAATTCATAGTCACACATGTAGTGAAGCAATGGTGACTGATTTAATTCATTGAAGTTTATTCATTAAGGTGCAGAAAGAGTATTTAAGAGCTGAAGGGTACCTGAAGATCTACCTGTATTATTTCATTTTAAGGATAAGAAGCCTGAGGGTCTGAGTGGTAGAGTAATTTGCTCCAGGCCAGAGGAAGTCCTGTCTACTTTCTCTGCTTGATCCGTCCTTCCTTGATTTGTTTACCTGTATAAAGCTTAAGGTGGGGCTAATTAGATGATTAGAAAAAGGGAGGGCCGGTGGCGCTGCTCAATAGGCTAATCCTCCGCTAGCGGCACCAGCACACTGGGTTCTAGTCCCGGTCGGGGCACTGGATTCTATCCCGGTTGCGCCTCTTCCAGGCCAGCTCTCTGCTATGGCCCGGGAGTGCAGTGGAGGATGGCCCAAGTGCTTGGGCCCTGCACCCCATGGGAGACCAGGAGAAGCACCTGGCTCCTGCCTTTGGATCAGCACGGTGCGCCGGCCGCAGTGCGCCAGCCGTGGCGGCCATTGGAGGGTGAACCAACGGCAAAAGGAAGACCTTTCTCTCTGTCTCTCTCTCTCACTGTCCACTCTGGCTGTCAAAAAATAAAAAAAAAAAGAAAGAAAAAGGGAGTGCACAGACCTGATATTCTACTGGGAAGAGCCATGGGCAAACCCTAGAATGAGCAAAGAACTAAACCCTTTGGAGGTATTACCTGAACACTCCTTTCAGGAAGGCATCATTGAACAGAAAGGAGGTCTGCTGTCAGAACTGCAGAAAGAAGCTGAAGTGACACATAAACACGCCATGAATTATCAGGTGTGTGCTTGCTCATAAGCACTAGCTGGGAAGTCCATTTTTTTTTTGAGAATAACCATTTAGCTGTAAGGCTGCTATGCTTTCCAAAGACTAGGCTTGGAAAGTAATGACTGACTTTTTGTTTTCAAATAGAGAACATTGTTTGTGCCCTATGTAGGAAGCAAGTAGAAACTTCAAAGAAGGAAGTATTTCATTGTGTGCTGGACTCTGAAATAATGTCATTATATATTAAGATTTATTTTCCTTTAGGCCCAAACACCATGACTTTAGTTTTCTTTGTCAGTTCTTGTGCATGCCACCATTTCCTATGAGTCAGGCCACCAGCAATTATTTGGTTTTAGGTGTTCCAGTTCCCACTGTGGAATAAGAGTGATTGAAGAGGAAAGCTTGCATTCAGGGGCTCAAAGAATAGTTCAAAGAAGTGACTCACAGCACAATAGTGGCATTAGTTTATTGTAACAAGATATGGAGAAATCATGTTCTGACTTGTTCTATTACTAGGGACCTCCATCACACTGCTGCATGTGACCCTTATGCCTGAGTGGGGTTGGGGGGGGGGATTGTTCTAATTTGAATCTTTCCCATGCTGGCTTTTTAAAATTAAGAAAGCTACAAATTCCTATGGCCTCAGCTATCTCTTTATCAAGTAGGAATAGTTGACTTATTCTCAGGGCTATGAAAAGAGTAGTGTCAAAATGCAGATGCTCCTTGATTTACACAGGGTTTATATCCTGATAAATTCACTATAAATTGAAAATATTATAGGTTAAAAATTCATTCAGTGCACTTAACCTACATAACACATAGCTGAGCAACATAGTACACTGTAGGGTGTCAGTTGTTTACCCTAGTGAATGTGTGATTGACAGGGGGTGATTTCATTACCACTGCTCAGCATTGGAGCTCAAGAAAATTCCAAAAACCAAAATTCAGAGTACAGTTTCATGAATACATTTACCTTTTGCATCATCATAAAGTTGAAAAAAAAGTCCTAAATTTAACCATCATAAAACAGGACTGTCTGTCTATATCACAAGATTGCATGTGTTGGCCGGCACCGTGGCTCAATAGGCTAATCCTCCACTTAGCGGTGCCGGCACACCGGATTCTAGTCCCGGTTGGGGCACCGGATTCTGTCCTGGTTGCCCCTCTTCCAGGCCAGCTCTCTGCTGTGGCCGGGGAGTGCAGTGGAGGATGGCCCAAGTGCTTGGGCCCTGCACCCCATGGGAGACCAGGATAAGTACCTGGCTCCTGCCATCGGATGAGCGCGGTGCGCTGGCCACGGTGCGCCAGCTGTGGCGGCCATTGGAGGGTGAACCAACGGCAAAAAGGAAGACCTTTCTCTCTGTCTCTCTCTCTCACTATGCACTCTGCCTGTCAAAAAAAAAAAATAAAATAAAGATTGCATGTGTTTAAATACTTGGACATAAAGTTATTTGGGTTAATGATGCTTAACTGAGTATATGAATTTGCCACTTAGTCATGACAAAAGCTCATGGAAATTACAGTCCAGGAATAAAAACAGAATGATATAACTACAAAGAACAAGGTTACTTGGAGAAATAACAAGAAGAGAAGAGAGTTTAATATCTGTCTGGTGGAAAGCAATGTAGAAAAAAGGGAAGACTGGATTTCTCAATAGCAATGTGGAAACAAGAAGGCTAAGGA